CTCCCGCTTTCCGCTCCGCCATCGGCTACGGCTGGGGACGAGTGTCCTCATTCGGGAGCACTTAGGGATGCCATGCCAGAAAATCTGGCTCTAATATATGCGAATGGTTCAGAAATAAGAAAGGCGATGATAGAAAGAAAGCAAACGTGGCAAAATGCTACCAACTGTAACTCAAGGTAAAGGTCATAGGGTGGTTACCATACTACTTTTTTCAACTTCTGGTTTATCTAAAAAAAATTTTTTTTTAAATAAAGAAAAAACATAAGCCTTCATTAACAGTGGCAAGGTCTAGTACTAAATATTTTTCGCACACATGTGCATACCAAACTCTCAGATGCTGTCCATTCCGTACAGAACTTTTTAATTACGAAAACGATCCCACGAGGAAGCGAGGCGGCCCTTTCCTGTGTGACCTCGCCCGGCACTCACTGCAGCAGACGCGCCGACAGCGGGCTGGCACTCCCCGTGGCACCTACTCCTTCCCGCCAGGGGCCTGGACGCTGCCTCCATTTTACGGTGCCCAAAATCTTGAGAGTTCAGGAAACTCGTTCAAGGCCACAGTCAGTAAAAGGCAGGACTCGGCTTCCAAACCAAGACGCCCCAGCCTGAGCTCCGCTCTACTCCAGGCGCAGACGCCCGCCAGCAAGGACTCCGGTGACTGCGTTCTCTACCTGCCACAGCTCTTCCTGATGACACGGAAGAACGCGAAGTGGAAACAGTGCCTGCTTCAATAACCATCCTCGTGGAAAGAACATGCCTATCGTCACTGGCCTCTCAAACTCTCCAACATCTGGCCCGCCCTTCACTCTCTGCCCCAAAGGTAAACATCAATGAAGACTGTCCGTTACGCACTCCCAAGACGGAGGAGAAGGCAGGTGGTCAAGGGCAGGGCATGGGCGGGCTCGAGGTGACGCAGCCCTTGGACAGACTGGGGAGGGGAAATCGTAGCTCGCGGTGCCAGCGGCTACGTCGGATTTGGGGCACTGCCTGGTGGGCTCCCGTGTCTGGCCAGCAAGCAGCAGAGCCAGGGTGGGGTCTGGGTGCCCGGCCCTCCCTCCTATGTGGTGAGGCCGAGGGAGTCTGGGGTCCTGAGGGTCAGTCAGTCTGTTGATGATTCACACTCACGGCATTAGATGCTTGGGGGCTTACTGAGATGTGTGGAAGGCTTACCTTGGGGAGAACTTCCATTATATTCCTTTTCCAGAAACATCAGTAATCTAATACCACTTATTTATTTTATAAAAATAAAATCATCCTAATTTTACCAGAATTAGAGATAAGGTTAGACATGTATTGAAGCAGGGGAGGGTGGATGAAGAAATCTAATGGAAAAAGGCAAAGAATCATGCTACTAGAACCAAGTAAAATTAATAAGTAAAAGGCATAAAGGGAAAGGATACCTAATGTAAGCGTCCCACACCCCCGGGGATGGAGGACGACAGGAAGAGGGGAAAGAAACGCTCCCTAAGTGACAGGTACCCAGCTCAGTGGGGCAGGGGTCGGGGCAGGGCAGGAGGGAGGGGCTCCCCAGCACTCTAGGGACACTCCATCAAGTCAGAAAAAAACAGTATTCTGAAAAGTTAAGTAAGTGTTAAAATTATTCATCAGTTTGAGAAAAACCACAAGGCATGAATCTTGAAAACACTACTCCCCTTTAAACAATTTTGACATGTTTGAAATGCATGCACCCACAATTCTGTGCCTAGTCGGTTTAAGCGTATTATTACTGGAGAAAATAAGCATTCAGGTACTTACTACTGCTTCCATATCAGAAGTGTCAGTCGGAGCAAACATAGACTGAACCATAAACTTGTGTTTACTTTTCTCATTGGGATCATAATCGAAAGGCTGTAACATCACTGAGAAAGAAAATATTTCATTAGGAGGGTCAGAGCGGGGTTATCAGTGCCATTAAGCTAACATGTGTTCTTGGGGTGCATTTTCTCCTCTGAGCCCTAGGACACCCCTGCTGAAGCAGGCGAGGAGAAGCAGCCTACACTGTCTCTATCTTGTAGGTAACCAACCCATGGTCCCGAGGCCAAGGGGGCTGCTCCGAGGTGAGACAGGCGGGCTGAGCCGGGCGAGGGCTCAGGACTTGGGATTCCACTTCTCGGCCACTGACCACGTGCTCTGCAGAACCGCCACCACCGTCTGGCACCGCCCTCCAGCAGGGGACACCGGGCAGCAACCCCACATGCCTGTTTTGCTCAAGAAAACATACCGAATGATCTTTTCAGGAACTGAGCAGGAGAATCCAAGATGTCCAAGGAACTGTCTAGCTTCTCTCCACCCCGTTTCCCAGACAGCTGATCAAGGTAACACCTTCCATGCTGGCCTGCCCCAGCCTGCTCTCCCGAAGGAGCCAGACAAATCTCACCAGGGATGCCAGTTCGAATCACCCTCTGCGGGGCTACCCTCCGCGGTGACTGGCTTCCTTCAGTCTATCTCCTGGGGGAGACCACAGCCTACCTCAGTAAGTAGCAGGTGCTTTATGATTCATTATTTGAGGCCCAGTCACAAAAGTGCAGGCAGTAGGGCTCCACGGGACTGGAGCCCAATGGGAGGCCCCAGATTCGGATCCTGGCCGACATAGGCACACCTACAGTCCTGGCCAGGAAGGAGGCTTGGGGGTGGAGGGGTCATAGCATGGTAAGACCCTGTCAAGGTCTCCTCCCCCCCTTCTCTCTCACAGAATAAATACTTCAGTTTTCAAACATAATGTTATTTGATAAAGACCTAGGCTAAACCACATGCCTCGTTAAGTGTGCAGAAACATAACATCGCACGTAGGAAACGCCTGCTGTGCCCTGACCGCCAGATGGTGTGGGCCGAGGGCGTCCGTGTGCCAGCACCAGGCTCTGCCTAAGTCCATTACTCTCCCATTTAATCCTTGAGAGCTGGGTGCCACTGTGGGGGCGGGATGGTGCCTTTCTGTCACATGAACACCCGAAGCAGAGAGAGGCAAGGTCACAGCAGATGAGTGCAGTCTGCTGGGAGAGTCCTGCTCCGGCCAGCAGGGACCTGACCCCTGTCCTCCAACAGCGTGTCCTGCCCTTCCGCCCCTGCCCACGGGGCCTTCTGGCCTTCTGCGGGAGCCTCGTCTTAGAGCTCTCAGCTACTTCCTCTAAAGCCTCATCATCAACCACCTCTGGGAGCCAAAGGGCAGGGGTCCTTCAGACCCAGACCACTGATGGGCCACAAAGCGAAGTGGCTTACTCAGGTCACAATGTCAGGAAGCAGCAACTGAGGGACAGTCATGACGTGACACCCCGAGAACGGCCTAGCACCTGTCCACAGCAGTGGTCACTCCAGGGTGGGCCACTGTGCCTCACCACCCAGGCCCACGCCACAGCTACAGAACTGGCATGACAGACAGAAGTGCCAAGGTCCCACACCCCTCCTGGGGACATGGGGACAGAGAAAGACCATTAAGACCTGCCCAGGCACGGGACGCACAGGTACCCTGCCACGCAGGCAGCTCTGGTGTCCACGACACGGCCTGAGTGCCCTCAGTGCAGGGCATTGCCGAGAGACCTTCTCAGGACACAGCGCGAGGCATGCCAGAGCAAAGCCTTCATGGACGCAGGCCTGCACACGCCTGGTCTGGCTCCCGATGGAGATGGCTAACACAGTGTGTCCCCTGAGCACCCCAGTCCCGGAGCGTGGCCACCAGCAGGGAACAGGTCACCTAAACGCACAAGGGCTACTTTCCTCGGAATGCGATTTTCCAAGTGGAAAGGCAAGGTCGCTCCTGGAGAAGCCGGCCTCCCTGGTAGCCTGGACCCAGAGGGCAACCGGCTCTTCTTTGGGCCCCACTGAGCTGGCAAGGACTTTCCTGCAGACGGACCTTGAACACCACTGCACACCTGGGCGCGGCAGTCAACCTCGGGGACAATGGCCAGACGGGCAGGTCAAAGCCAGGCCCTCTTCCCTGGAAGCTGAGTCCCTGCGTGTCTTTTTGCACCCCAGGCTGCCATGAGGACACGGGCTGTGAGCTCAGGAGCCAACGGCTTCACTTGCCCGTGAGCATTCTCAGAAAGGGACGCCGGCCTCTCACAGGCATTGGGACCAGTCTTCAAACTACGGTCAGGTCCATGTTCACGTCAAAAATTCCAATGAACTGGGGATTGAGAACTGCAGACTCGCTCAGTTCAACAAAACCACGCTCTGGTCTGGGAAGGAGGACAACTTGGACCTCAATGACACTTAGGTTTTCAGAGGACACCGTTAGCAGTGTAAGCTGCCGCCCCCCGGCCCTCTGCTCTGCTGGCTGGCAAGGGCTGCTGCTCTGCCCCTGGGCCCAGCCTGCGGCGCTCCAACCAGGAACCAGGAACCAGGAACGGGCGCTGTGGCTCACACGACAGCAGTCCGACGGCTCCTTAGGTGAGACACAATGGGTGGAGTGAAAGAGCAGAAGACCCCGAACACACAGCCACAGGGCTCTGTCCTTCCCCCCTTCCCCCAGGAGAGGAAGTGTGGGGGAGACCAGGCGGCCGAGGGCACGTGGCCGGGCGTCGGGTCAGGTCTGCCCAAGGCAACACGGGAGCCCTCGTCTGTTTTCACAGACAGAGAAAAGTCCCGAGGAGGGAAAGGCCGAACCACCCTGACTAGACCCTGCTGTGTCCTAGGCGAAAGCACATTCCTCTGGCTCTCCCAGGTCCCGTGACAGCAAGCCGTCAGAGAAGCCCACGCTGGGGTCAGTCCGTGGCCCGTGGTCCAGAAGGCTCTGGTCGCTCAGAGTGTACATTCCGTGGTACACGTTTTCTTAAATATGAAGTAATAATAGCAAAGCTGTTACTTCACGGAAAAAACTTAGCGTAGCTGTGGCCACCGATAAAATCCAGGCTTTCGAGTAAACACTAGAGCTGTGGAAAACTTTTATCTGCCACTAGGAGCTTCAGTGTCCCCAAAACACAGACTATGCTGATGAGATCAATGGGAAGGGTAACAGGTGTGACTTCCTGGAAACTGCACAATAAGAGGCTGACCTGTGAAAGATCGGGGTGGCTCGGCCGACCGCCATCTCCCGAGTGGCCTACGCATGACCTGAGAGAGTCCCTTCAGCGCGTGGGGAGGCCAGTGCATCAGCAAAACAAAGCTCGAAGAGCTTTTGGACGCGGTTTCAGATTCTGCGTGGGACTGCCCTTCTTTAAGAAGGTACCAGGTGTCAGGACCAGCAGATGGCGTAACGTTGCTGGACTCCCAGATTCAACTGTGGTTCGAGTCCTGGACCAGGCAGCTTGAACCATCTAGCCTAAATTCATGCCAGGTGCACATGCATGTCCAAAATCCCGAGACGAGAATGAGGAAGGGACTGTGGCATAGCCAACCCCCCGGGGGTGGGGGTGACTTCTCGCTTTCATTTCAGTCTCTGTCTCTCCACCAAGTGTACATGCCCTATAGCAAAAATCTCTTTAAAAAAAAAAAAAGAGAGAAGGTGCCGCATGTCAAGTGTTGGTGTAGTATCAAAGAGGAAAGTCCGGGTTTACCTGGGAAGGGGTCAGCCCCTTTCCGTTTTCCAACTACGTGTCTGCGGTGACACTGGGTTTTCTTCACGCCCCTTTACCAAACCAACACATCACAGCAGTCGTGATGCAGAAGTGTGAGACTCGGTCTGCCTCTGTTACAACAGACATCCAAGAAAGCTGCAAAAAATGCCAAGGCGTCTTTTCACTGATTTTTTTTTTAGTCATTATTTTGGGCCAACTCCATCGCCTGGAGCATTAGGCAGTCAGACTCCACCTGACTGGCCCTGCAGACCCAGTGGCTGGAGGGACACTCGGGCACACATGCCCAAAACCCTGGAGGAGGGAGACGGAGCGAGAGCTACAGCCTGGCCACACCCAAGGAAAGAGGTGCCCGTCCCCTCCCTCCATCTCTCGGGTGAGTGCATCCTCTAGGGGAAAAACATATTTTTCACTGAAAATTTTTACCATTAACATGAATTGCTTGTAATTGTTTAAGTATCTGTGTAATTTCTAATATGATAAGTACCAAGTCCACCCACAAACACGACAGCTCTTCGGGCCTCCAGCTCTTCAGGGTGTAAGGGTCTGGGAGCAGCAAGTATGCGTGCTGCTGCTCTCCAGCCCTCGGCCGAATGCCCTCCAGGAGGCCACCTGTGGGGCTCAAGTGACCACGGCCAGCCTTTGCAGCCCCTCTGGGAGAATCTGCTGTTTAAAAGAGAAACCAAGCCTCGAGTTTCCGGGGCGTCCTGGGCTTGGGCAGGGGCATAGGTCCACATGCATGTATGTGTCTCTCATGGACGGGACTGGGTTCCCTCCTCTAATCCAGCGGCCTCTCCACAGCTTAGTCAGGCTCCCCGAGGGACTGTCGAGCCCCCCTGCCAGCCTGCCTTGCAGGCGTCACCGACACAACTGTAGCCCAAGTGTCCGACATGCCAAGTCATCACAGTGTGGACCTGGAAGTCACTTCTTGGGGCATGGAGAGGGCATGTGGGGAACACAGGGGTGCAAACACACAAGGCAGGGGTCACTGGTGGGAGCCAATCACCTTAAAGACCTGCCAGAGATGGCCTGAGGCAGGAGGGGACTCGTGAGATGGCGACGCCAATGCCCACTGCACGGCTGAGGCTCTGGGCCTGCGGTATGGGGGACCCTCCCCCCACCTGGAGGAGCAGGTGGGCAGGAAGATGTCGCCACCCAGCGGCTCTCCTTGGCCGGTCTCGTCTGCCAGGGTAAGGCGCTTGAGTGGCCGCAGAGACACAGGGAGCTGGGCAGATGCCCAGTGCACCTCAGTGCCCACGTCCTAACACCCTCACGCACATGGACACGTGCGTGTCTCCCGGGCTACTATCAGCTCATGTCAAATGCAATTTGCTACACCCGATTAGCTGGGA